CATATGTGTATTGATTTGCTCTTTTTCTTGACTTCTTCCTTTTAGCTTGAAAGGCGTCTTGGATCAATCAGGGTAATGCAAGTTGTTTTAATGTCATGTTTGCATTTGTTTGATTATTTACCAAATATCAAACCTGTTTTCACAAATAGATGAGAATAAATGGTTAAGAATATATGAAAGTCATATATTACTGCGAGGTTCACTTTCATTCACATAGATGAGAATGTGTGGAATTTCCTGATTAATTGTTGGATTTGTTCACAGGTTTTTCAATTGGCAAATATTGTCTTGGGAATCACAATTACTTCTTTGTCAGCCTTGAACACCCTACATGACAGGTTAGTTCCAAAGTAATGACCATGTTGATGTAGAGTACATGTAGTAGTTGATAAAAGTTGCTAATGGCAAAAAGAAAGTAATGTAGCCAAGGGGCTTTTATAAATCTGTTTCTTAGTTAGTCTTAGGAGACCATGAGGGTTGTATTTAAAACACAATATGGAGAAAAGTGGAGAGGAAGAATGCTTAAGAAAAATTAGTAAATAAAAAGTCTCTAAAGAGAAGAGGATCTTTCCTAAAGGCAAATTTTATGAAAAGTATGAACTAAAAAGGAAGGGTCAGGATTGAGATGGCTCAAACATCACAATCAACCTTCATTGACATCTACTTAATGATCTTCTCCAATTTCGTTACAGGTCAAAAGTTCTCTGGCCATTGATGATTGTTGTTCTCATTCCACTGAGGATGGGTATTGGTTGTGGCTTTAGCTCTACAGGAATCCTTGTCAACAATGCGGTACCTGCTTACCTCTTAGGCTCTGCAAATGGACTTGCGATGACAGCAAGTTCCATATCCAGGTAGGTGCATCTAAAATATCTTATTTCTACTAAAATGATTACCTCCCTAAGATATTCGAGGCACTTCGAGGTAGAAGGATTAGGCATTGGTTTAATACCTTTCCTCATATTGTGTGGCACTGATTGTTTTTTTAAGATCTTGAGTAACAACTGATTAGTTCCGCTCTTTGCTGTCCGTGTTTTTCTTTGGGTTCTCTTATTTGATTAAAACTCACCTTTCCTCCACATGCATCTCTTAGCTAATTGTTTTACATGTAACTCTCCCATATTAGCTTAGTCAACAAATTTTATTTGTATTTAGTTCATTTTAGGGTGGCTCAAAATGGTTTGTTTACAAAGGGGTTTCGTGCAAACTTTAATTTGTCAAAAAAGTAATGTAGCTCTGAACGTACATTTGCAGAAAGATGACTTTTGATACACTGGTTGTAATTCCATGATAACATGGAGATCACCACATTTTTTTAGTCATAGACCCATAATGTTAACATTATGGTTGTTTTTAATTGGCTACAGCGTGGCATGGTAATCTACAACATGTTGTTTTGAAAAACAATATATACGCTTTTCAAGGCAACTGAGTTGTAGTCAGGTTTATTGCGTTCTTTCTCCGTCAGAACCCTAGCTCCACTTGTTGCTGGAAGTGCGTTTGCTTGGTCGATAAGTAAGGGCTACAAACACGGATTCCCTCTTGATGAACACTTCGCTTTCATGCTGCTTTCCATCGTGTGTTTCCTGGCTGTCCTGCTGAGCTGTACTCTTCCCAAGAGACTGAACATGAGACCGTCAGCGCCAGTGAAAGTATGAAGACAGAAGCCCGCATTCTCTTTCCCATCATTCAGTGTGCACACTGTAAAGAAAAGGGAGGGGCGGCAACACAATGACAGCACGCTTGGCGCAACGTCATATTTATGCCACTCAGGCATTCAAGACAACCAGAATGGAGGTAGCCTTATCTTTTGGAAGGAGCTGCACGCTGTTTTTAGAGGAAATGACAGATGGATTAGAAGAAGAAAAATTGATTAACGTAAATTACAACTCAGGTTTGAAAACGCTGGGTTAAAGTGTAAAGATGCACAAACTCTGGGCTCCTTTAAAACTAGAATAACCTTAATAGGACTTAATCAAAAACTCGTCAATTTTATGGTCTATTTTTTATTGTGGTACTTACATCTATTTGTTTGGTGTTGTTCTTGTTCTTGATGAGAGACGAATAGAAAAACGGTTATTTATATATGTATGCTTGAATGAAAAAATTTTATAAAGCTTGTGTGGTTTGGCGACAATCATATGCAAACTGCTATTAATATATTACGGAAATTCGCCCACTAGTTGTCTGAGGTATTTAATATATTGTTCAGAACTAACGATAACATCCATCTTCAATCTATTAAACGCCCGAGATCGTAATCTACAGCGTTATGTTACGCAAGTCTTTGATAAAGGGCAATGTTCAGTTGAGAGTCTAATCCAGGATTAAATGATATGGAAACTCTCATTATCATTTCAACTAATCACGTGATACACTTGTCGTAGTCGTGGTTAACACAAGCGTATTTCATGTTTTCATTCAAGACGTCAAATAATTTTATTAAAAATATTTCGTTTGCCATTAGCTTATTTGGTAGAAGTTGATGTACTTACACATTTACACTTGAAAAATTGAGCTAAATTTAATACAACTATACTTTTAATTTATTTATAATTTAGCAAAATATTTTGACTATTTTTTAGTATGCACATTAGTATGGAGCACTGAAATGCTTCTGCTTTTGTCGGTGTGTCTCGTGGTGGGATCTGATCTAAATTTATCAATAAGAGATAATTAGGAAAATTTTTTAAATTATCAAGGAGGAAATATATATTCAAATAATACTTGAAATTTCGCGCTATTTATTGAATTCACATTTCTTGCTGAATGAAATCAATCAATAAATAACAAGCCTTGGATCAATGTTTCAAGAGTATTAAATCTGACAATTTTGACAATATTCACCATTTGCGATTAGATCAGTAATTTTTAATAATTGCTCTCCAAGGAAAAGAACAAAAACACCACATTAAACAAACAAAAAAAACCATACATATATATATATATATTTATATAGAGAGAGAATATCACGGTAACGTTCCTGGTTAAATATTATCAGAGGAATGAAATTAGTCAACGTGGGCGATGAGGGAGGAAATGAAGAGTTGGTTAAGCAAAGCGTTCCAGAAAAAAATTCGTTACCGTTCCTAAATAGTCTCTTATAACTCCAAATCAATGTCGGTTAAGGCTACCATTGGCTGCTGTCGTCTGAATGCGGAGGAGAAATCAGAGATTGCATTGGTTCTGCCTCACTTTGCCCAGTCTCCTTCACAGCCAGTCTTTGGGATGCGAAGGCGGCTACCATGCTCAATAATTGGTCTTGGGAAACTGGCGCGATATTCCTAGCAAATCCGATACAAAACCTGAATTGATTGCAGCTTTGTACACGCACTCGCGTCGTACAGTGCTTCAGCATGTGTGCTTGTTTTGGCTTTTGGCACTTTAAAGGACACTTTTCATATTCTCCATCGTCCTAATTGGCCTGGGTGATTTCTTGTTGGACTTGGTTTTACCTCACTCATTAGAAATGCGCTTTGATAAGCAAGTATTTTCCAACTTCGACAACAGACACACCCATCGTCCTGTTCCCCTCAATTTAATTGTAAAATAACTATGTCCAAACCAGGATAATTCACTACTGCGGGTTCGATTACAAAAACCTTGAACCTTGTTCCCGATTTGGACTTGTTTGGGCGCACGAAAATGTGTAGAACTGATGTCCTATAAGAAAATAAAGATGTCCTTTGCCTTTTTTCCTCCAACTCCTGAGACAAAAAGAGGAATCAAAGATGCATTGATGATCTAAATTGCAAACTTTTCTCGTCAATATCCATGATTTTTCCTCGCCTGCACATGCTGCAGAAGGCGTTACTCCGTCGAAGAGGTTTTGCTGCCGTTTGACATCTTTTTGAATGATTCATAGGTTCGGTTTCACAGAAAGCTACAGGCCAGGACACTCTCATCTACAAATTGATCTCCGAGAAAACCTACTTGTGGCAACCTTAGCAAGAGACTGCTAATTCAGCCAGGACATGGCAAAACATGTTGACAAGGTGGAAAACAAAATGGCCGACTTATCATTTCTTACTTTCAAAGGTAATTATCAAGTGTGATTACTATAGGACGAACTTCATCATAAGGAGTTTTATCTTGTTCCTCTCGGGGAATTTTCCAGAATTGTTCCCAACTCTCATTTCCAGCCAAGAACAACGTTTAAGTTGGGAATATGCTATAGGTATCACTGATTTTGATATATTTTTTAGTATGCTCTTAAAGCAGCAATATTTCAGTTATTGCCCGCTTTTTTTCTTTTTCAAAGTAACTCCAGATCGCACGAAAATTGTACAAAAATCGCACTTTATTGGCGTTCATACTTTTTCGTAAATTTACTGTACCCGTTTACTGTAGAAGTTTGTAACTGGGTTTCATACCAAGGAAGGTCAGGGAAACGGATGATAAAGGAGGCGAGGTGGGGGCTGAGTACTTAGGGGAAATATTTGTCTCTTTATTTCTTTTTAGTACCGCTGTCCACGACCGCCATGACAAAATTTTTTTCATTTATGTCAAAGTTGTTTGTATTCGAGACAAAGTTATCCCAGTTCCTGTGAGGCTGTCCGAGTTTAATTGTCTTTTTCCGACTATTTCAGTCTAACTCTACCGTCTTTCTTTCATCAGAATTCTCATCCTAAACGAGGACAAGAAACATGCAAAATAGAAATTCAATAACTCTTCAGAAATTGGTGATTGGAGACTGCTTTGTTTTTAGTACATCTTAATGGTTGTTGAGTTACTCATTAGACGATAAGCACCCACCTTACGATTAGGGGACACCCAGGGCTGTAAGTGATCACCCTGTCTATCAGAAACGAAAAAAAAAATGATTCGTTGTTAAAAACAATGCAGTATAACCTAAAAAATGTTAAAGTAGCGGCTACCCTGTTAAAATCAGCCAGTATATGTTTAAGAAGTGGAAGGTAAAATATGTTTACTTGGGAAGAAAAGTATATCAAGAAAAAGAGTAGCAAATAGTTCAAAAGTGTAAAATAACTGAACATCGAAATATGAATCAGATGCTGAAAATATATCGTTTGTAGTACAATATTTGTAGAATAGTATTTCATGTAAAAATATTTTTTATGTGTAAATTTTCTATTCATTTATGTCGTCAGAAAAAGAAAGAAAAAAGTTTTATTTCTCTTTTAGTAAAAAGAAAAATGAAATAAATCAAACCAGCATAAGCATAGTACATTATTATCGTTTATTACGCCCACTTTGAAACACTGATGGTCCCTGTAAACTGATTGGCTCTAACTGGTGCGATTTATTCACGAATCAC